CACCATGCCCAGCTAATTTTCTGTAGTTTTAGTAGAGACAGGGTTTCGCCGTGTTGACCAGGATGGTCTCGATCTCTTGACCTCGTGATCCACCCGCCTCGGCCTCCCAAAGTGCTGGGATTACAGGCTTGAGCCACCGCGCCCGGCCTTATAAAATATACATTAATTTTTTTTTTTGAGACAAGAGTATTTTGTTCTTGTTGCCCAGGCTGGAGTGCAATGGCACGATCTCAGCTCACTGCAACCTCCGCCTCCCAGGTTCAAGCAATTCTCCTGCCTCAGCCTCCCGAGTAGCAGGGATTACAGGAATGCGCCACGATGCCCAGCTAATTTTGTAGTTTTAGTAGAGACGGGGTTTCACCATGTTGGTAAGGCTGGTCTCGAACTCCCGACCTCAGGTGATCCGTCTGCCTCAGCCCCCCAAAGTGCTGGGATTACAGGCGTGAGCCACCAAGCCCGGCCACATATACTTTTAAATTATTTGTTTGGTAAACAATTTAAAATTCACTTGAAATTAAAGTAGTTCTTGACCACCTTCTTCCTCCAATCCGAATCCTGGCCCTCAGTTACCACTTGGCTCTCTCCCCTTTCAGACTTATTCCTTCACATTTAAATGCATATGTGTGCAAATATATAGTTTTTGGCAAGTTGGCTTTTTTCTCTCTCTTATCTTGATCTTTTCACGTAGATTTATCTTGTTCAAGAGCTGCACGGTATTTAAAAATGCGGACGTACCATAGTATATATTGCCTTTCCTCTATCGATGAATGACAAGGTTTCCAATTTTTTATTTCCCCTCCGTGCCCCCCAATAAAGCTGGATCCCGAGCTTTTTTTTTTTTTTGAGACGGAGTTTCGCTCTTGTTACCCAGGCTGGAGTGCAATGGCGCGATCTCGGCTCACCGCAACCTCCGCCTCCCGGGTTCAGGCAATTCTCCTGCCCCAGCCTCCTGAGTCGCTGGGATTACAGGCACGCGCCACCATGCCTAGCTAATTTTTTGTATTTTTAGTAGAGACAGGGTTTCACCATGTTGACCAGGATGGTCTCGATATCTTGACCTTGTGATCCACCCGCCTCGGCCTCCCACAGTGCTGGGATTACAGGCTTGAGCCACCGCGCCCGGCCCCCCGAGCTTTTTTGTACGCATGTGCAAGTGCCTACGGAGTAGACTCCTAAAAATGGAAGATGTGTGAGTACTTTCTTTCTCATTTCGTAGGCTCTGGGGAACACCGCAGGGAGGTCGGGATACATAACACCCCCAGGCTAACAACCGGGGTTGTTAGGCTAGGACAGCCCCTGACAGTTTTCTTCCTTTCATAATGGACGCTGAATTTGTTTTGTTGTTGTTGTTGTTGTTTTTACTTCGTAGATGCAACAGTTCTCAGCACCAAACCCAGCTACACAACCATTAAGCCACCAAGCGCTACACCTGATAGATTAGAGGGAAAAAAACCCTCCAGTCCCTTCACGTCGTGACGCTTGCTTCCGGGAAGCGGGACGGAAGCCGGTCCTCGATTCTGCGTCAAACCCGACTTCAGGGGCCGTCGTAAAAGTGTCGTCCCTGTCTCAACGACCGGCCACAGGTTTCCGCTTGCCTCTGGCCGGGAGGTCGGCAACTGTAGGCTTCGGTTTCCCTCAAGATGGCGGACGAGGAGGCTGGAGGTGCGGAAAGGATGGAAATCTGCTCAGAGTTACCCCAGACCCCACAGCGTCTGGCATCTGTAAGTCCCTATACGCAAGTCTCTTTTGTCCTCTCCCAGTCCCTCCCTACTGCGCTCAGGAGTATGCGGAGCTTCACCCCTTATGGCGGCTCTGGGGAGGGGAAGTTATCTGGATTGATCTGGAAGGAAGCCACCGAATAAAAAGTTAGTCGCAACCCACGTTTCTGCCAGCCAAGTCTACGAAATATAGTGACTTTGTTATGTATTATTGTTGATTTTCTCAAGCATGCATGTCGCTATTTTGAAGTAGAAAGAACTGGTGATGTTATTAGACGGTTTGTTGTGGGGTCTGAGGTGGGGTTGGAGCAAGAGCCATTTTCGTATAGAAGCAGTGCTAACCCCTCTTGATGGGAACGCAGCACCTGCTATTGTATTGCATAGCCGGCTGACCGGGACGTGATAATGGTAGGGAGAGCTGCCGCTGTCAAGTCATGTCAAGATGTGATGTGTAGGAATTGTCCTTCGATATAGCATCTTGAGAACCCCAGGCCTGACCCTCAGTGGAGAAACCCATCATCTGTCGCTGCTTTTTAAAAGCGAGGAAGGGACGCCCAAACATTTCAAGCCAGAGCAATACCATTAATTAATGTTGGATATCTATACTTTGCTCCAGCAGTTTGAAAGAATGGGAAGGCAGAGATAGTGAACAAATTTGAGTCAGTAGCTACAGGGAGAAAGCTGACAGAGGAAGATAAGAGGTAGAGGGCAATGTTAGGGAATGTTCTGGATGCCCAGGGCATCTAGTGGGGAGATATTTAGAAAATATTCAAATATCTATCACTGCATAATGTTTTATTTGTTTTTCTAAGTAGCAGGATTTAGAAAATTGGGGTATACACTTTTTTTTTTTCTGAAGTTTCTTGGGTTTGTAGTTTAATAGAAACATTCTTTTTTTTTTTTTTTTTGAGAAGGAGTTTCACTTGTGTTGCCCAGGCTGGAGGGCAGTGGCGCAATTTCGGCTCACTTCAATTCGGGCGATTCTCCTGCCTCAGCCTCCAGAGTAGCTGGGATTACAGGCGCCTACCCCGACACCCGGTTAAATTTTTTTTGTATTTTTAGTAGAGACATGGTGTCACCATGTTGGCCAGGCTGATCTCTAACTCCTGACCTCAGGTGATCCACCTGCCTTGGCCTCCCAAAATACTGGGATTACAGGTGTGAGCCATTGCAGCTGGCCTAATGAAAGCATTATTGAAGTGTTTTAACCCTGCAGACAATTGAGCATTGTTTTATTAAGGACAGAGGGAGCTACAGAATGAGTCAACTCCAGGGATTGAAGAGACTGGCTAGGAGGTAGGAATAAGGTAGGGAGGGAGTTGGAAAAAGGATTTGGCCACTGACTGTGTTAGTGCTTGTAGTTTTCTTCCACCCCAAATAGCAGTTCAAATTCACTTCACTACTGGCAGTAAAGGAGGAAGCGTCTCTTTGAGATGATAAGGAATGAGGAGGTGGGACAAGTTCAGAAGCAGCTGAAACATCTTAATGGTAGTTTGTGGGTTTTGCTTGTTAGAAGGAGTGGGGAAACTCTGTGCTGTGGTCAGAAAAATTATTAGTTTTGTATCTGAAGACTAATATTTATTTAAGGCTTTGATACATTAATTTTTTTTTTTTTTTTTTTTTTTGAGACGGAGGTTCTCTCTTGTTACTCAGCCTGGAGTGCAATGGCGCGATCTCGGCTCACCGCAACCTCCGCCTCCTGGGTTCAGGCAATTCTCCTGCCTCAGCCTCCTGAGTAGCTGGGATTACAGGCACGCGCCACCATGCCCAGCTAATGTTTTTTGTATTTTTAGTAGAGACGGGGTTTCACCATGTTGACCAGGATGGCCTCGATCTCTTGACCTTGTGATCCACCCGCCTCGGCCTCCCAAAGTGCTGGGATTACAGGCTTGAGCCACCGCGCCCGGCCGGTACATTAATTTTTTCCAGAGAGTAGAGTAAAACACCACCATTCTGGACACCACTCATTTGGAATGGAGACAATGATACAGGAATTGAGATAGAATTTATTTGGCAACCTTTACCTCAGGAAATATTATTAGATTTTGTTGGGAAAGGCTTTAGGTTTTGCAAAGTAGTAGTTAGATTGTGAAATATAGCCTCAAGGAACTCACAGTTTGGTGACACAGGTAATATAAGTGCCCAAAGAATTTTAATTCAAGGTAGAGTACTGTCAGTAGACAAGACCTTTAACTGTTAGGCTTCATAACCACTTTTTTGGCTTGACTCTATCTACTGAAGACCCTACAGCTCATTATACCTTTCTCTCTGTGTTTCTCAAGCTACTACTGACTTTAATTTTATTTCAGCCATGGTGAGACACTGGCTTCTCAGTTTACTACTTTGGTGTTAAGCAACAGGAGCTCAGTTGTCCCCCCTACCCTTTATTGCTTATCTTTAGACAACGGTAAATAGTATGGGACATTTATAGAGGTTTAAGAAATCGTACAGTTTCTATTACAGTCTAATTCCTGGTTATAGTTTTTGATTTCCTTTAAACTTCCTTCTTAGTCTGCAGGTCCATTTTCATTCATATTGCTATTAGTAAGCATGAAGGCTGTAATATTCCTAACATTATCTCACATGCAATTCACGTAAAATAATAGGTATGAATTAGCGGATATTGATAAAAGCCATTGCTTAAGAATCACCAGAGGAACTGATAGGTCTAAGGTGAGGTCTAAGAATCTGCATTTTCACAAGCATGCCCTGCTGATTCTAAAGTAGTGGTCCAGGGCCACACTTTGAGTAACACTTAGCTAGGTATTTGGAAGTTATCAGTAAATTATTGACAGTTGAGTTTGTGGGAATGGATAACATCTTTTTTTTGAGACAGGGTCTCACTTTATCACCCAGGCTAGAGTGCAGTGGCACAAACATAACTCACTGTAGCCTCAGCCTCTTGGGCTCAGGTGATCCTCCCACCTCACCCTCCTGAGTAGCTGAGAATATAGGTATGTGCCTCCATGCCCTGCTAATTTTTTGCATTATTTTTAGAGACAGGGTTTTATTTTATTTATTTATTTTAAGACAGAGTCTCACTCCATCACCCAGGCTGGAGTACAGGGGCACTATCTTAGCTCACTGCAATCTCCACCTCCTGGGTTGAAGCAATTCTCATGCCTCAGCTTCCCAGGTAGCTGGAGTTACAGATGTGTGCCAACATGCCCAGCTAATTTTTGTATTTTTAGTAGAGACAGGATTTTGCCATGTGGACAGACTGGTCTCAAATCCCTGACCTCAAGTGATCCATCTGCCTTGGCCTCCCAAAGTGGTGGGATTACAGGTGTGAGCCACTATGCCCAGCCTAGATAAAATCTTCGAGGAGGAAAATGTGTGCATATGAAGACACACACACACACAGAGGAAAAGAGAGTGTGAGAGAGAGACGATGAGAGAACAGGAATGATTGAAACGGGTAGAAAATGGAAGAACTAGGCCGGGCGCGGTGGCTCAAGCCTGTAATCCCAGCACTTTGGGAGGCCGAGGCGGGTGGATCACGAGGTCAAGAGATCGAGACCATCCTCGTCAACACGGTGAAACCCCGTCTCTACTAAAAATACAAAAAATTAGCTGGGCATGGTGGTGCGTGCCTGTAATCCCAGCTACTCAGGAGGCTGAGGCAGGAGAATTGCCTGAACCCAGGAGGCGGAGGTTGCGGTGAGCCGAGATCGCGCCATTGCACTCCAGCCTGGGTAACATGAGTGAAACTCCGTCTCAAAAAAAAAAAAAAAAAGAAAAAAAAAAGAAGATGGAAGAACTAGAATGTGGAAACAGAACAGGCAAGCTGGTAGGAGGTGAGAACAGTGCAATGGCAGGGGTAATGTTTTGAGGAGAGGGTGGTGGTTTATTGTATCCATGATGTTGAGGACTGAGAAAAATTGGGAATCAAGAGTGTTGTTGGGTAATTTGCCAGAACTTCTTTCTGCCTTCTGTCTCCCTCAACTAGATTTTCTTAAGTCAATTTCAGAAGATGCCTCTTGGTATGATACTCAGCTCCTATCTATTGCCTGTTTACAACAGGCATGCACCACTATGCCCAGCTTTTTTTTTTTTTTTTTTTTTTTTTTTTTTTAAAGACAAGGTCTCTTTCCGTCTTGCAGGCTGGAGTGCAGTGGCGCGATCTTGGCTTACTGCAACCTCCACCTCCCAGGTTCAAGTGATTCTCTTGCGTCAGCCTTCCAAGTAGCTGGGATTACAGATGCCTACCACCACACCCCACTAATTTTTATATTTTAAATAAAGACAGGGATTTTACCATGTCTTTATTTATTACAGACCAGCCTACCATGGCCAGGCTGGTCTCAAACTCCTGACCTCAGGCTATCTGCCCACTGCTGTCTCCCAAAATGCTGGGATTATGGGCATGAGCCACCGCGTTCAGCTAATTTTTTGTATTTTTAGTAGAGGCAAGGTTTCACCATATTGGCCAGACTTATCTCAAACTCCTGACCTCAGGTGATCCACCTACCTCGGCCTCCCTAAGTGCTGGGATTACGGGTGTCAGCCACTGTGCCTGGCCTTAGTTATGTCATATACTGAGAGTAAAGACCAGATTTTAGGAGAGGAAAGGAGAAAAGCAGATCAAGAGTTTTGTTATCCCTGTCTCAGTAGATGACACCTCCATAATAGCTCTTGAACACAGATAATTCTGTCTTTGCCTCTGCAGTCCAAGTTGCTGTCTGTTTTCTTGGCTACTGCAGTGACTTCTTAACTGGTCTCTTTGCTTCCACTGTTGTCTTCTTCCTGTCCATTCTGCACAGAACAACCAGAGTAATCTTTTAAAAGATTAAATCAGATCACATCAGTCTCTTAACTAAATCCTCAGTGGCTTTCTGTTATACTTCGAATGAAGTCTAAACTTAATACAAGCCTTTAAGACTTTGCCTGGTCCAGCCCCTACATCTCCATCTAATTTCCTATTACAGTGTCCTCACTCATCCTGGCCTGTTAGTACAAGCCCAAGCTGTAGTTTGCTTTAGGATCTATGCTATTGCTTGCTG